CACGTCTTTATGGAGTCATTCATTTTACTACATGAAGGCAGAACTTTTGACTTCCAAGCCCCAAGTTTATGTATGTGACAAGCAGCTGTTTGTCTAAACACAAATCCCATGCACACTGACATAACGATGGTTTCACAATGCATCTATAGCCCATGCAAGCCTATCTCCTAGGTTAATATTCCGTTATTATAGAACATGACAGAGAATCACCATGTCCCTTCATAGAAAGGTTTATTACTCTCAGTATGTTTAAACCTATGAACAAAACCTAGTTCTCTTCCAGAGCAAGAGGGACTAAGATTTTGCTTTAGTAAGCTTATTGTCTTTGGAGTTAGTTTGTTCCTCTTAAAAGCTCTGTAATAATGCAGTCTGGCCCATTTCACGCCATGGACAAATAGTTTGCAAAGACATAACTAGCTCCTGTGAGGGAGGTAGTGCTGATAATTTGGCAGCTTGTTGAGGAAGGACAATAGGAAAGAGAAGCCAGTTGACAGAATGTAATGAGCTGCCTTATGAGATATGTTGATGAATGTGGGGTTTTGGTTTTTCTTTGGAAATGCACAGCTGTGTTTCTGGAAGCGGGCCTTCGGAATTCCGTTACCGCTATTTGGCCACAAGAACAGCATGTGGATTACAAGCTGTAAGAGATTTTGCTTCATGCAGAGTTCCCATGGGATGTTACAGTCCACGCAGTAATATGATTTAATGTTGTTTCTCTTCTGGTAAAAGTATGAAAATGAGCTGGCAAGTGCAGCTCTTCTGGGGCAGGGGGGAGACCTGTCCCTTGTGTTTTGTGCCAGGGCAACAATGGGTTAAGGCGACTTATTATTTTAAAGGTATTCTTTATTTGCAAACAGATGAAATTAATGATTGAGTTTTGCCCTGAAGCAATTTTGAATTTGGAGTATAAGATTTTGGAATTGTAAGGACTTGAGATTCTTCCTGTTGGAATTGACAGAGCAGAAATTCCCACTGGTTTCAGTAGTACCAGGATTAGGTTCTTATGTTGCAAAGTTTCTTTTCCACTTGGTGGATCGGTATTTTCCCATGTGTTGGGTGTAACCTTTCTGTTCCCCACAAAATGTCTGAGGAATCCAGAATCGGATCCCGTAGCTCTGAGGTTAGCGACAACCTAAATCTGTTCAGCATCAAACTTTGGAGAATTATGGGCTATCTCTGAGCAAGTCCCAGCTGAATTCAGAACTACTAGGAGTGTTTCTTTTTTTGTTATTGACTATGAGACTTTTCACTTGAAAATGGTATCAGCTGGACTTAGGATTACTCATTCATGCTCAGGTGTGAATATATGTGCCTGTGACAAGTCCCCTGTTCCATGTGTCGCGAAAGCTCCAGAAGGAAGAGGCTGCCTGATACTTGAGGGAGTAAAAATAGTGAAATGTCAGTAAGTATTTTAGGTTGTTCTAAGATTTGCAGTAAGACTTGAAGTATCTTGATCACGTAGGAGCTGGCAGTGAGGCTCTTGTTATGTCCCTGGAATGCAGGAAGCAAACAAACCTTTTGCTTCTAGTAGACAGCTTTGAATCCAACCTGAACTGAAGCCAGGCTTCATTGGCCTGGGTCGGTTTCCTCAAGCAACCACCAGGACATAAATACAGCTTGGATCAGGTCTGAGAATGAGTAAGAAAGGAATTTGAATTCTTGTCTCTGGAAAGGTGTTCTCTAGGCTTGTGATGAAATATACTAGAATAAGTGGAATCATCCACTGTTATTCTGCTGCAGGTAGTGTGTGAATGAATTTGGCTCTCTAGTCTCCAGCTATCACGTGCACATTTAAAATAAGCTGTGTACTCTGCGGCCGAGTTAAAACATTAAGCGTGTCCCCAATACACCAGGAAATTGTCGGTTCCAGGGAGATGATGATGTAGTGCTGCTCAGCAGCTCTAGGCTACCTGAAACGCTGACCTTGCTTTTGAAGACATGCTGTTAGCAATCTTCAGCAGGCCTTTAGGGGAAATCTGATCTGAATGATGATCTGATGTTCAAGACAGTGACTGATCTGTACAGGGAAAAGAGATTGATGGGTTCTTAGAATCTGGTGTCTTGCCAATGTGCGTGTTTCGGGCACTGCTCAGATTTTGGTGATGTAGGCATTCTCGCTCTTGTGTTGAAACCTAACCTATAGAACGGGGGAAAGAACCACTTTTTTTAAGAAGCAAAACTGGTAATATGGGAGAGAATAATTTATAAGTCTGTGTGTAACCCTTGTCCCTAGAAGCCCGAGTGATCAAGAATCAAACTTTTAACAGAAGGGCCTACGGGCTGGATTCCTCTTAAACAAAATACAGCTGTACTTCTTTAATTCAGAGTGGTGGAGGAATGAACACTAGTAGCAAGGAGGCTGTTCTCTTCTGCTTTTCATAAACAATGATAAACTAATCCTTAGAACAGGTAATTCTGAAAACAATCTTCCCCAAACTCTTATTAAAGAAGGTCAGCTAAATGCACTTTATCTTATTGCTGCTACTTATTTTTTTCATTGTGTTATGTTGATGGAGCTCTTCGAAATCCTCTTACCAGTGAGTTTTCTCTCTGCTGTATTTAAGGTGATAAATTTGCATGAATTATCCCTGTATCAATGCTGTAAACAATGGAAACCAAAATAAAAATGAATTGGAAAAATATTTCTCCTGATGTGTTCTCCATGTCGTGATACAAAGTCTTCAAGTGTAAGTATAATATATTGAGATGATGATGATGTGCCACTGTGTTGTGGTAGATTGCGTGTTTGACAATAGCGACCTTTTATCTGTGTTCTTACTATGAAAATTAACAAGGCAACCAATGATACTGAATTATCTGATGGAAAGTTTGAGAGATTCTTCCTTAAGTTACACTAAAAACGTCAGTATTGAATCAGTGCTTTCTTGAGAATGCTGTAGGAAGTGATGGGCAGCAGCTGCCGCGTTGGTGGGCTGAAGCTGCAGTGGATCGGTGTTCCCGGTTGAGGGGTTACGTTGTGCGCATTAGAGGAGACAAAGCCACATTTCCAGGGATCGTTTTTGCAGACCGCTCCCGTTCACCTTCGCGGGAGTCGGGGGTGCGCGATCCCCTCAAACAACGAGCAGTGCTGCTGTACCGTACCCAAAAGCGGGTGGTTTGGGGCCGCCTCCCGCCCTTCACCAGCACCCCGCCGGGCCGGGAGGGCCTCCCCCGCCGCCCCCGCCCCCCC